GATTGGCACTGGAAGTTCAGTGCGACTCAACAAAGAGCTGGAGAGTGCGATGAGAACAATGATGACGCTTTCACAGTCACAGCCGCTGACTGAGCGGGAGAAGCTTCACGTAGCAGCATTGGACATGTTTGCCAGTGGGTAAGTCCACTTTCATCCCATATAAAGGACTGTGAAAGGTTTTTAGCTACCACAGGTGGAAGCGACAGTGGTAGTAGTGTTGCCTTAACATTGGCTGACTTCTAGCAAAGGATGAGGGCGAGATGTCAGTGGTGGTTCTTGAATTGATCTCTCCAAACTGTAGGTGCCATGACTGGTTAGTGAGCAGCACCGTAGGAGGGGCAGCGCTGTGTTGCCACCGCTTCATATCACGAAGTACTCTGTGTTTTACGTCTGTCGTAGATCCATCAGTGGGTTATGTGGTTTAGAACTAGGAAACTAAGTATTTGACTACAGTAGGGTCCAGTATAATATACCACAGACTTGGATCCACAGAAGCAAAGCTACAGACTTTTCTTCTCTTTGTTGTCTCCCTGTGTCAAAAAACATTTCCCCATTAAAACAGGGAGACTGCAGGGTCTCAGAAGTGCTGTTAGAGGCTCACTGTTCCATGCGATATGATGAATTTATGTGCACTGCAGAAAGTATGGGCTAATGATTCACTTTCATTATTTGTCAAACAGGTGTGCATGGATTTACCTCACGTAATTCTTAGCAAAGGTAAAGAGGAAGCTACTGAAGCCCTGTTACTATGGATTTGATTCCGACTAGAGGAGAGGAAAGGTGTATTTGCGCATGTGAAGTTAAATTATAATAGGTCTCTGTAAAAACTGTTTAACCCTGTAGGAAAATCGTTAGGTTTATGGTTTAAGCTTGTTTCCTTTTCCTTGTGTGTTACAGTGACTTGTTGTAACCCAAGGACATTTCTTTGAAAAGATTTCCCAGAAGGTGCTCAGTGAAGATAATGCCAGTATTACTTTTAAAAAAGACTAAAAAATTACTTCAAGGAAAAAAAAAAAGTAATTTGATACTGAATTTTGTATTTTTCAGAATAGCGTGAGTTTAGAACTAACAGCAGAGGCAGGTATGTGTGCCTTCTCTCAGCAATAAAAATAATTTTTTATTTCTAGCCAGCTTCCAAAAGCTTGTGATCTGTGGGAACAGATCCTGCAGAGCCACCCAACTGACCTGCTAGCCCTTAAATTTTCCCACGACACTTATTTCTATCTGGGATACCATATACAGATGCGAGACTCTGTTGCCCGGGTTTATCCTTTCTGGACACCTGATATTCCACTAAGCAGGTGGGTCATGCTTCATTTTGAAACTTGCTCTGTACCTAGTGTGCGCGAACTTCGTGGGTTTTAAGTTCAGACACATCTAAATAAGAGGACCTGTTGGAAAGAGATACCTAGACAAAATCAAGGACTTAGAAGCAAATCAAATCTGACCACAGCTAGGATGTCTCTACTGTGTCCCTGTGGACACTGTTGTTGAGGGTTTTTTCTTAAGTGAGCTGTGGCTCAGTTAGTTAGTTTTGCTGTCAAGTATAGCATGTGGCGTGTAACACACAGGATTAAATCATGCCCTTACTGAGGGCAGTGACAAAACTCCTTGGGCTTTTATGGGTCCAGTTTTTTGCTTGGGGCTCACGTTGTGGGTGATAGAGCACATCAGTGGAAGGAAGAAAGGAGTTGTAACTTGGAATACCAAAGTGTAGTTCCAAAATAAAACTTCAGGATATACCATAACAGCTGGTGCGGCAAAGACTGACGGGACAACAGAGTTTTTAAAGATTTCTTTAGTTCAGTCCTGAAAATTTCCGTTTCCCAAAGTTAATTCAGGATAATCTGAATCTGTTGCCAAGTGAATGGTTAGTAAAAACTAACTTGGGAGAATTTTTTAAATTCTTTTTAAGACCTGTTAAATTATGTGAAAACTCTTAACTTTTACATAAAATTAAAATTAAATTGTAAGTGAAGACATACATTTAACGTTTAGAGAGAGATGAATAGATGATCTACAGGCAACCAGAACTTCCTGAATATTTTTTGAATGTTGCTGTACACTAGTGCACTGTACCTCCACATCCAGCACAATCTTGTCCCTTTTTTTCCTTCCCCAAACAGTGCGGAGACCACAGACTGAAGGCTAACATAATAGGGAAGCTACCTGAGGTACCCCACAATCTCATGGCACAGAGGATAGTGTCAGGAGTCTCATTTTTCCAGCTGTGTTACCTCAACTCAACTTAGAGTTAGAAAAATCTAAACCCCTTAGTTCTTTTTAGGTACAATATGCTGATTTCAGCTGTTAGGGAAGTAAGACAACTTAGCAGTTTGGACTGCATTTTTATAAACTCTCCTAGACACAATGCTATAAAAGAGCAGGTTGTTGTCCACTTGATTGTAAAGCAACAGGAAACACCCATGTGCCAAGCATTTCTTGAAGTATAAAAACCTGGCAAGTATGCCTTGTCCTCACACTTACAGGCGTGTAGAGTTACACATGAGTTGAAACACTGGAAAAAAAAAAAAAAGAAAAAAATCAACAAAATCTCGATCCGTGAAATAAATCAGTTGCAACATACCTCACACATTTTAGGAGTTCTTTTGCCTTAGGAGTTTAAAACCAAAATCTCAACAGATATTTTGAAAGCAGAAACATATCCTGTGGTATTTTGCAATCTATGAATCTGCAAATACAATAGCAGTTAAGTATTTCTTAAAACAACTGCATTGGGTATGTGCATAAAAGCATGTAACATCCCTGATTTTCTTTTTTGTTGGGCCTTTATGGCTTAATGGGGATGCTTTACAACCAGTTCTAAAGGGCCATTTCCCATAAAAGTACTCTGCTGTAGTTTTGTGAGCACTGGAGAAAGTGCAGAAGGCTACACCTACGTGTTACCTTTGAGACACTCGGATAACTTTGGTGACAGCACTGTCTTTCTTCCAGCCTTCGAATTCTGCATCTTGCAGCTGTTACAGAGATCAGTAGATTGTTCTGTGCAGCACTTACTCCAGTTTACCCAGAGATGTAAATGTCAGTTCTCAAAACACTGGTCATGTGCATCTGGTTATTGTTTCCCATGCTGGTGTCTCTGGGCCTTGCTTTTCCGTTGAGAACTAGCTAGTTGTTCTGTATTCTGCAAGCTTGAACCCTCATTGGAACTTGCATTGTAAGGACTGCTTTGAGTTAAATGCTATTTCTAATATGTTTTTCAGTCCTACATTAAATCTAGTTTTAAATGAATGACATGCTGGTTTTTTCCCCTTTTGCTTAGCTACGTGAAGGGCTACTACTCTTTTGGACTCATGGAAACAAACTTTTTCGATCGTGCCGAGGAGCTTGCCCGTGAGGTAAACTACCTGCTATTGGTGCTAAAAGCTTTCAGAATTCTTAAACAGGGCCCCTGTCTCTAGGTGGTGATTTGTGCCAATGCCGTGAGCTGACTCTCCATCATCCCAATTGTTAGTAGAAGTGGCAAAGAGATAAAGCTCAACATGGAAATGCTCACAGAGTTTCATAAGAGACTATTGATAACTATGGCTTTGAAAGATTCCTACATCTGTGCCGTACCATGGCAGTTTCATCTTGACTGTATTTCCTTCACTTGTTTATGAGCACACCATGTCAGATAGTGTCAGAACATCCCTATAAAATCCGTGTATTATTCCATCTGCTGTTTCCCCCATGTATAATTGGCTGTTTAGTCCTGTTAAGGAATGTTGGATTGGTTGATGTAATCTGCTTTTGACAATCCATCCTGTTTGGATTCCCCCTCCCTCTTTTCGCAGATGCTCGTTCCTGGATTATTGAACAATTAACTGTACAATGTTCCTGGGGATCAATATTAGCCAGCCTGTTTCCTTTTTATGAAGATAGTAATTATATTTGACTTTCTCCAGTCCTCAGGATTATCCCTGTCGTCCAGGAGTCTCAGATACAATTAATCTCTTAACAGGTTTTTTTGCCAAATTTTGGTTATATCAAATTGCTGAAAGTGACGGCAAAGACTAAACGTTCACATTTAACATTGACTAGATTAATGACTAACCTCACAAAATGCCTAAAATGTAGTGGGAGTTGTTCGAGCAAGACAGAAATTTGCTGAATACTCAGAGCTGGCCATGTTCTTGAAGAAGAAATGGTTATCTGCAAGGCACTATGTCAGGAATATATTGTGCCTTTCATGGCTGATATTGATGCATATATGTGAAATAAAATGTCATTTGATAATCTTCCTCAAAGCCTGCATTTTAAAGTGTTTTGCAGGTGTTCATCTTTATGAAGTAGAGGCTGAGAAGTGAAGTCAGCCAATAAACATTTTCTTCCTTTTCTGTTCAAATCAAACTTCTTGTCTGTAGTTAGTTGGAATGGTACAGGGATGTACTTAACATGCAACAAGTAAAAAGGAGTCTCTTGTTTCTCTGTCAGCAGTGATAAATATTGTTATTTGCAAGTTTGTAAGCTTTATCACGTTTTCCCTTTTTTTCACTCATAGGCTTTGGCTATAAATCAGACAGATGCGTGGTCTGTCCATACTATAGCTCACATACATGAAATGAAAGCGGAGGTGAAGAAAGGGTTAGAATTTATGGAGCAAACAGAAACCAACTGGAAGGTAAACATTCTTGTAGCATCTCTGAAAAAGCTCCTTCTAGGTCTTCTCTCTCTCCTTCAGCCAAGTTCTTGATTCCTCTGCATGCAGTTTCTTCCTATCTGCAGACACATTACAAGCAATGGAAAGTTTACATATTAGAAGAAACCATTATTGATACGTGATTTATATATATTTGATTTATGGTGTGCTTATAAAAGTCAAGTGACCACTGATACTTTCACAAGCTTTTTGCTTAGACTGAGATGAGCACTGAGAGTCAGTAAAGGAACCTGGCTAAATCTCTTCACAGGAACCTAAGATGATGTGTGAAATGACACAGTCAAATCCAGTGTTTTAGAAGACTCGTCAAATACCTGTTTGCTTCTGG